TCCACTTCGACCAAGTTTTCTTCTTCCATGCGCCTCTTCCAACAGTGCATCTTCCTTCTGACTCACATCCCACAAGATGATCATTGCAACTAAGACAGACGAACGCACAAGACGAAACAACACAAGGAAAACACAGGGTAAGCTTATGTAATTTAATTCATGCATCAACATATATGTTAAACAATCCAACACACAAGAGCATTTCAACACCTGTATCACTACGAGCCTATCACTAGACTAACCGACCGGACTGTATAAAAAAGTCTGTGTAGCCTACAGGCGTTCTGTCCCTGTGATGTAGTAATTGGGATACACTCAACAGCTGCCACCCGAGGTTAGCCATATCTATCCAAAGTACCCCTAAGGACTAGGACCTCCTGCCGTCCCGACACATGACCTACCCTCCTCTACGTGAACTAGTACTCACGGAACATCAGGATGAACGGCCAGCTTAGCAATGCCCCAGTCATACTTCCCAAATCCAGTATTCATACAAGAGTCGTTCCTCCTCGGAACGCTCGTCCATAATCAACAACATTTCCATATTACATTTTCTTCATCTTTTATTAATAAACATCTCATTTAATCACCTCGTACAAAGATTCATGAGGATCCCAAATAACGAACTCAAAAATAGGCCGAACACATAGAGCTAGACAGAGCGATCTTCAAATTTGAGAATGGATTAAGACCAAAAGTTGACATCGGTTTTAAGAAAGATAGCGAGCACAATAATATATTCCAAGAAATGAATGAACGAACGTCAATTTCAACGCTGAGCCAATTAGATGAACTACTCTTGAGAATTTCATCTGAACATTAAAAGACTAAACCAAGAACGAGGACTCCAGAGTAAATATAGGAATAATGAATATTTTCAAGGCACAAAGATAATACCTAAAATGCCTCACATGACGAGACCGAACGTCTGTGAATACTTTAGTTTAATTTTAGTTTAAGACCAAGATCCAAGTGACAGTCAAGACTGAACACTATAGTGGAACGAACCCTAGAGGGCTTGAACAACTCATATAAGGAAATTTAGCTTAAGGAGATAGAACGAATGCCTGGTGTAACCAACACTTGCTTACGACGACCACTTGGTATAAGACCAGGTGCCACTAACTTATATAAAAGAAACTTGATAATTATGCAAGGTTACTATTGAAGTAGTATTTAAGAATAACTAAATATTTTATAGAAGAATATTAAGACAGAACTATGCTTGTCGAACGCTCAGATAGTAATCGAAGTGTAGACGCTCGTCCTCAACTATGATTTCTTCAAATGAAAGAATCCATTACTCACCAAATTCACTATAAAATCGAACGGTCAAGGACCGTTCAGTAACGAACGTACACTTTCTTATGGGACATCATAATCATTTATATTCCAACTCATTTATTTCATATAGTTTACACTTAAAACATTCATATTTCATATCCTTCAAACATACAATATCATATATTTCATCATCATAACATAACTCAGTCATATTTCATTTCCACTTATTAAATAAGCGAACATTCATGTACTACAAACATATCAATCATCATCATTCAATTCATTCAGTCAACTAACGTACGTTCATACATTACAAGTAGTATACAAATTAAATTAAATAAGCTTCCCTTACCTGATACGTGATGAACGTCCTAAAGGAGGTTTTGGTTCGTCGCTACAATCTTCTACTCTCAACGATCACAACTCTTCAAAACTAACCAAACAACATGAAACAAAAATAACTTAGACTACATGCCCCCCATGCAATCAGAACTTGGCTTGCATGTAGCGGAAGACGAACGACTAAAGACAGATACACTTACCCGTTCAACTTGAAACTTTTCGGTTCAAAATGAAGCTTGGGGACGCCGAAGTGCTTCCACGGTGCCTAAACAGAGATTGGAGTAGAGAAAGGGTGAGTTTTGGTAGAGAGAAGGGTGAGATTCTAGAGAGAATGAGGATAAATTGAAAGATCAGGTTCTGGGGAAGGTGCATGCAGAGAGTGAGACAGCAGTTTTCAAAAATTTCAGTTTTGCTCACTTGTCAAAACGAGCGTTCACACTCGCAAACGAGCGTTCGCTCGTCGCTGACACCTCCTTCCACTATCTGATTTCCAGATCCTCGTGCTGACACCTGACGTCCGTTCAGAGGAGTTTTGGGTGCGTTTTTAATGATCCTGACAGGAGGGGTTTTGGGTGTGCATTTACGAGGTCTGACAAAGGTAATTATAATTATTTTATTTTATTTTACTGTATTTGAATTAGAAATTTAAAAAAATATATTTCGAGAATTTAAAATATCTTGTACTGAAACATATTTGGATAAAATATTTGAAAAAGGAATTGGAATGTAAATGTGTGGAAATATTTTGATTACTTTAAATTTTAAAATCTCAAATTTCACAAAATATTAAGAATTTAACCTTGTATTTATTTTCTCATTTGTATGTTTTTGTCTTCGTATCTTTCTTATTTGTCTTTTCCGTCTTTTTGTCTTTCTCTTCACATTTTTTACTTTCTTTTTTTCCTTCTTAATCTTATTTTCCTCTCTCTTTTTGTTTTCTCTTTCTTTCTTCGTCTTTTTCTTTGTTTTATTTCTCTTCTTTTCATACTTTTTTTCTTTCTCCTTTGAACTCTCTTTTCTCTATGAATACGAGTTTTAAGAGGTTAATATTAATTTTAGCTAACATTAATTTTGTTGAAATTTTAACTTGTTTACATAATATTTTGTATACACAATACTATTACGTTGTCAGAACTAACAAATTGAAATTTAAAATATTTAATTTGATTTATCAAAATAAAGATTTAAAACAATTCAAATTTTAAATATTTAAATTTATTCATCTCCACACAATCTAAATCTTATTCTAATTTTTTATCATCATGACATAGGAAAGAGTTAATGTCCACTAATTTGAATGATGGTTAATTTTTATTATTTTCTTTAATGACACTTTTTAATATTTATATACACACACACACACACATATATATATATATATATATATATATATATATATATATATGTATGTATGTATGTTCAACCAATATATACTCAATACTAAATAAAAAAATAGTTAATATATGTAGTCGATAATAAATTTGAGTATTAATATTTTTATATAAATAATAAATTGTATCAATCAAATCTTTGCATTCTTATAAAGTAGATTAAATAAAAAAATTGATATACTTTAGATACTAATTAAACCTTTTTTTATTTTATTTTATATTTTTATTTTACTTAAGATAATAAATAATTTCTATTATCATATTATGTTTACAATTATGTGATTTATTTAAAATATACAACAGTAAAGTAATTTTATAATCTAATTTTGAATTAACAACATTTAATATATATACAAAACTACAAATACTTTTACAGAAAAACTCAATATTTTATAATATGTTAATACTTGAAAATTGTTTTATCTACATCTTTAAAAGTTATAATATTCTTACAAAATAAATTTTATATCACTCTCCATCTCCTTTTCCATTTTATAATTCACCTCTTTCTCTTTTTTTTTTGTGTTAAGAATAATATCGCATCGCACTCACAAACAGTTTCTAAACATTTATGTAAAGATTTCATGTAATGAGGTTCAGATAGGTTATAGGGGAGATGAAAAAATAAAAATAAACGGGTGAGTTTGGATTCAAGTTTTAAAAAAATAGATTTAGAATTTTAAAACTCGTTCTCCTAAAAATTTGTTTGTAAATAATTGCGAGAATCTTTTATAATTTAAAGAAAATAATGTACTTATAATTTTTTTTAAACACAATAAATTAAGCTATTCATTTTAATTGGAATTGATAAAATATATAAATTTTAATAAATTGAAAATAAGTTACAAATACAATATTATTTAATAAGCTAGATAATTTACATTCATATTTGTAAGAACATATATATATATATATATTATATAAACATTTGATCTGAACAATGGGTTCAAACTCCAAACTTGAACCAAGTTAAAGAATATATTTTTTACGAAAATTAGGTATCGAGCTTAATTCAGGAATCAAAAGTGTACTCGAAATGCCTGATTAATGTTTTCTAAAATTCACAAGTTTGAAAAGTAATAATTCAAGAACGTAGTGTATTAACATCTAGTATACAGTTAAGAGAGAAGAAAAGTAATAAATTTATAGGTTATGTGATATGACAAGAAGAAGGGAGATAGAAAAAATAAAAATAAAGTGTGTAATAAATGTAGACAATCAAAATGTCTATAATCATTTTCATTGTTTGAATACTACTACCTTTTTTTAATTGATTTTTCAATCTGGAATGACCCAATTCTTGTTAGATTTCATGCAATTGAGAGAGAGGAAATGCATCATATATTGTATAATAAATACATTGAAGAGTTATTTTGCTCAAATGTGAATTTTATAATACAGTGGTCATCACTTAATGTATGGGGAGAGCACATAAAAATCATCAACTTAACATTTCAATCTTGTTCTACCACTTTTGAGTTTTATATATATTTTCATTGCACAACTGACATATTTTGAATGTGGAGAATAACAAGAACCAAACAAGAAAATAAAAAGACAGAGAAAATAGCAAGAAGAAAAACAAAAATATGTACTTTAAGCTATGATTATTGGTTTACATTCGGATAGCATTATGTACTCAATGATGGTTATTGATTTCTATAGTGCATCATCATAAGCATAAAAAAACTCTAGATTACTATATAATAATTGGGCTACAGCAAAATTTCCCTATACTAGTTTAGGGATATATATACCTGAAATTGCACCGAAATATGATATACCTATCCGTGAGTATACTTATCCGCTACAATCTAGCTAGCAACGCTAGCTTCATCCACTTATCTGTGAGAAAAATGTGTTTTCCAAAAAACAACAACATGAAAACAAGGAAATGAAATAATCTAAGTAGAGCTGTATTTGTGAAGCAATAAGATGTGAGGAGAAAAGATAGGATAAGTGTAATTCATTATTTGCATGAATCACTATTACATGACACCGAATTTCATGCGATAAAAATTAAACTCAATTAATTAGTGAATTATAAAGATGTGTACCGTGTAAACATAAGGATCATAACGCCCTCCCGAGCCTGATCTTTTCACAGCATCCACCCTTAGCAACCTAGAGACAGTGTTCTTTCCATCAGACAACAAAAATAACCACATTTATATGAGCATTAAATATCAATATTTAGTAGGTTCTTTTAAACATGTTTACTATTATTAGAATTTATTATTGTCGTAATTAACATTCATTAAAGAATAGTGAGATTCAATTTTTGGTAAATTTTAAGCATTTATTTGGTGGATAACTTTATGATGGATGATTAAAAGAAAGAGATAATGTTTGGTTGAGATGATTTAAGGAAAAAATAATCTTAGGAACAATGAGGACATACTTGTACTTTTATATTTTTTTCCAATGTGTTTCTACTCATACCAGTGTCTCTCTCCTTTAACACATTTACTTTTTCTCTCAGTTCACTTCATTTTCCATATATTTTCTCTCTTATTGCTTCTTTTCATCTTACTCATTCCTCTTCTTACTCTCTATTAAACACATCCTGAGAGTGATTTGTTAACCTTATTGTGTGTATGAAAAATCCAAACAGTTGGTTCGTGCTTGTTTTCGCTACAATAACAAAATCAAACGGTTAATGATTTCAATCCGCTGAAATCAACCACACTAAACCTATTATATTTAAATCACGTAAACGTTTAAGTTGCATGGCACAATATGCGTGTTTGGGTGAGTGAAAGAGATTACATTCTTAGAGCTTTGCTGGTGTCGGGGCTGTCACCGAGCATTTGACGGATCTTCACTTCAGAGGAGTCACCGCAAGAGAGCAACTTGAGTATGGCTTCGCCACGCCGACGCAGGTGCGGCGAACCAGCTGGGCGACTCGACGGCTCGGCCGTCTCACGTCCGATCCCGGTCACACGCTCAACAATCGCGCCTCTGCATCTTTTAGCGTAGCGCAAGCTTCGCGCGCTGGAGATGCCGCTCGAGCTGCTCGACAAGCAGGAAGAGGCCTCGCCGGAGGCAGAAACAGGAGAGAGCATATTCGCAGCCTCACCGGCGTTCGGTTTCCGGTCGCCGGAGCACGATGAGGTCCACGTGACCTTCGATCTTATCTTCCTTGCAATCTTTCACAAAATTAAAATCCTCAGTTTACATAAAACAATCCAGAAATTTGTAACATAAATAGCAACTACCAATCAAATATTAATCTCTTATCCTCTCCCTTAGACTCAATCACACATTATCAAATCCAACAGAACAGAACAAAACCGGAAATCACTAGAAACAACAGCAACAAGATGCATAATCATCAGAAGAATGAGTGAAGCGAATTCTCATATCACTTGTTTGGTTTTGTTACGCTTCCAAACACAAGCACATACAGAAATGAAGAGAAATAAACTCTAAGATGCAACTAATGAGAAGGTATACAGAATATATAATCAACCTTAAGCTTCATCTGATTATAACGCAAGATAGCAGAGAATGATACACTGTGCGATTTGATCTCTTTCTCGGATGAATCACCGCTGTCATTGGTGAGAGAGGAAGATGAGGATTTATTAGAACAGTAGGAAATCGATATTTGTCCGGAACGCGTGCTGTAGTTGCTTTCTCTCTCTCTGGAACTGCATCGCTTGAATCAGAGGGAAACCTTCAGAGAGAGAAATTTGTGAAACAGAGTGGGAGATCGAAACGAGAAAAGTAGAATTGAAACTGTTCAGTTACTTTGGAGTAGAAAGCAAGGGAGACGGAGGTGAGGTGTTGAGAAGAAGCAGAGACGATGCAACAGTTCGTTCTTCCGAACTCGGAAATGAAGACATCGTTGCCTTCACTGTTTTCTCTCAGTTTTTCAAATTTCCCGGGTATATTGAAATGTTTTCAAAATTTTCTCTCTCTTCGTCCATGTTTGCCGCGTGTGTCTAACAGTTTTTGTTTATTGTTATTATTAAGACACATTAATAATACTGTCTTTATATCACACAACAGGAGTAATAAAAAATAAAATAGTTTTTCTTAAACATAAATTAGTTATATAAAAATTAGAACAATATAAATGAATTCTTACAACTAAAATAATTTTTAATCATAAATTATAATTTCTTATTTTTTATTTTCTCTATTTTAAAATACTTTAAGAAAACCTTGTTAAGGTTTATGATTACTCTCTGTTTTTAGATATGTAAATTCATTGCCTAACTACAAGTATTTACTTTAGCATTTTATTATATTTAGTTACTGGTAATTCTCTTACATGCCTATGTCTGGAAGTCAGAAATATTTTATTTATTTAATTTAGAAGAAACAGCACGTCAATTTGACTGGACACCAACCATTACCTTTAATTTAAAAATTTACATTTACATTTTTTATATTTGCAATAAAATAATTCATAATTGTTTTTACCATTAAATAAACACCCACTTATCTTATTTTATTTTCACATATAATTTTCACCAAAACTTAAATATAATTTTAAAATATAAAAATAATATATTTTTTGATAAATAAAAATTAAAAGATTATATTTTTATAAATAAAATAAGACGTTGGGTTGTAATTTTACTTGAAATAATAAAACTAAGCTAAATGTTATTTCTTAAAACCTATAAACAGGTTTCTGTTTCTTTAAATGTATACGAGATGTACGTCTTATTATGTAAAACAAAAGGAAGTAGATCTCTTTTTAGAATTAAGAAAAGTATGTATGAGTATTATTTAGTATAATTTTTACGCTATATGATTATTATCAGTATTTTTATTATTACTGAGCGAAAAATTATATCAATAAAAATTCTAGATTAATAATATATTTTATCTATGTTAATAATACATTGTAAAATGGTTTAATTGGATGTTTGTGATTTTCTATAATCTCTATTGGGCCTGGACTTTTATGTTTGATTAACAAATTCTATTTACACTCCCCATATTTTGTAACACACTTCCACTTAGAAGATTTTTACCTATCTACTTCAAATTTTTCTTTTTCTTTCATCTCTCTTTTAAGATTTCATGCATGGTAAATGAAAAATCCATGTCACAAAGTCACTCAATTTTCACTAATACAATCAGCTAAAGAAAAATAGGTTAAAATATATTCTTCATACAGCATATATTCCAAATCTTAGTATAACAATAAAGAAATAAATGATATTCATAAATAACTATACTTTTATTTGAATTCTAATTACATATATTAAGTATGCCATTAAATACTAATGTTAACATGGTCTAAAGAAAAATATTAATGACATATTAATTTATTGTATAATAGTTCAGTATTAGTATAATAAATATAACTTCATTTTGAGTTTTAATCCTATTTTTTAATTTGTCAGTTAGATGTTTACTGCATGGTAACTGTTACTAACATTTATATTTATTTTGATGATTTGATATACAACATATTTTTAATGGTAATGATTTTTTAAAAATACCAAATTACTATTATATTCAATTTATTTTCAATAAATTATTCTTTCAAACTCAAAGCTATCAGATCTTTCTTCGTTATACCACATTTCAATTATCTTAGATGGTAAAATGAAGGTGAAGAGAGGGACAATATTAGAAGATAATGTCTACCTCAATAATATATATATATATATATATATATATATATATATATATATATATATAAATATATATATATATATATATATTATATATATATATATTAAAATCTGTTTTCGATCTGGAAAAACAATCATTTTCGTATTTAGTCTCCAATAACTTTTTTTCTTGACTTTTGATCTTTGAAATAATTGTAGGTTTGTATCTGATCAGACATTTATTTGTATTTATTGGCTTGTTTTTTTAAAATAATTCCATAAATATTTTTAGATTTCTCTTTTATTTCTAAATTTTTTATCATACTAATTTAAATATTTTCTAACATGAAAATATCATATTAATATTAATATAAGTAATATAATGAAAAATATCATATAAAAAAAATAGGAACTAAAAATAAAAAAAAATATTAAGAACCAAATATAAAATTTGTAAAAAACCATATTTAAGTTGTTTTCCTTTTTTTTTTAATTAAGGTAGCATTTCCATTAGCTTAGGTGACATATTTTGAGTGGACATTTGGATAGTGTTATTAAAATTGATTTTGAATATCATTAATTAGGTCAAATAATTATAATTATTATTTTAATGTATTATAAAGAATTTAATGGTGAAACCAGTGAATTTTGTGTTTTATCCTATAAAAGAAATGGACAGAAGGTGATGATAACAAGATAGACGTGCATCTATGTTCGTTTTCTGTAATAAAAATAAATAAATTTTAGTTTAATTATAAAGTAAATTTAGATTATTATAATATTATAGATGATTTTTTATTTATTTTATAGATAATTTTGTTTTCTTATAAATAATTATTTTAGTTATAAAAATAATTATTTTAAAAAAAATAATCAAACTAAAAAAATGATTAAATTTAAAAAATATTAAGAATAAAATTAATAATAATTGTTTTAAATTTAAAAACAATTACTTATTAAAGTGTAAAATTGGAAAGAATGTATACATTCAAAAGTTGAATTCTCTTTACTACAAAATAGCATAATTTTTTAATTAAAAATAAAGTCTATATATGTACAAATTGTTTATTTAAATAAAAATAATTAAATTTCATAACTTTTATTCTTTTTAAACAAATAGAAACTTACAGACCGAGTATCGTATAATCAGTCGGCCTCACTGGCTCGCACCGGGCAAAGGCCCAATCATCCAACTTTGTAAAGGGTTTTATCCAAAATCAATCCAGTCTATAACGAATTAATATGATCTACTTTTCATATAATATTAAAAAAAACATAATTTCACAGCACTTCTTGAATATTCGGTCACCATCTTATCATAAATCATGGATCACACTTAAAAAATAATTATCCAATAAAAAAAAACAATGTAAAAAATATATGTAGTGTTCACTCAAATAACTTATTTAAAAGTTACATTACAATTGGTAGGTTTTTCTAGGAATCCTTATATTTCCATCTATTGCATAGAGTCCCATCAATCACTCTTATTTCAATGAAATGAAATCATTTTGTAAGATCTAAATTTTCTTAGCATTCACAAAAATAATAATTTCATTTTTCAATATCACTAATAATTTTTTCTATGAATAAGCATGCATCACACATTCAAAAATATTAAAAACAATGTTTAATGGAATGTCTTGATGCATTCTAGTCATCTCCAAACAAAACATCCAAGATCAAAGGTTTTTGGTTTTGTCACAGCCATATACCCCTTGTTTGGAAACTTGTTAGTGCACATGGCAAAGCATTGATTGGTTTGAAATAGACTTGTTAACTAAGTTTCCAGTTTAACTCTCATCCCAACACACCTACACTTTGGAAACAAACTAGTGCTGATTTAACAAAACAAGTCAAGGAGAACCAAGCAAACCCACAAAACAAAACCCCCTGGTTCCTTCTGTCCCCAATAAATCAAGATAACATTTTTCATTTTTGGTTCAACTCAAACTGATTTTTCAAGCCAATAAAAATCTATGAATCATATCATATTACAACTGTGGTTGATAATCAATGTCCATCCCTATTAAAACTTAGTCAAACATTACTAATGAGAAATCTAACATAAAAATCTCATGAGAGTACCCGAGTTTTCAATATGATATATGTTAAAATATGAATGATAATATAAAGTTTTAACATCAGTGAAAGTTTTAAAGATATTATCTGGAAAACGGTATTGACATGGCAGCTCATAAATCAAAAGCATTATAATAGCAAGTTCCAAATCCAATTAATACCCTAACGTGAAGTTTTACCTAATGAGTCCATTTTCCAACACCAAACCAAAATAAAAAGGATTAAAGATAATAAAATAAAAAGAAGATGTTACAACTGAACCAGAAGAAGATTCCACTCTACCAAACTACCTGCACTGCATTGAAGCTTAAGGAACCGACACACACACACATACCTGTCGGCAACCACAACCTTAACCAAAACTTCAACTCCCAAACCCCAAAAGAAACTTACCAGCAACATTCTATGTTTCGATTAGGAGGAAAAAGAAAGAGTTGAAAGGTGTTCAGCTCAAGTCAATCGGAAGATACATTTGGGGGAAGGTTCGATTGAATTCATCACCCAAACTCAATGATGGTCCAAGAGCAGCATTCACTTCCAAAATCAGTGAATCAGAAGCCCAAAACGCGGACTGCGCGCTGGCAGCTACCAAGAGCCTCGATTTCTCCGCCTGGGTCTCTGACAACCTCGTCAGGATCGTGACCGTGGTGCTCCTCGTCGTGACCGTCGCCGCCGTGTTTTTCCTCCGGAACGCCGGTGACACCGCGGCGCTGCTCTGCTTCGAGAAGCAGCGCAGGAGCTCGAGCGGATCGCGTACCCCCGCGTGGAGTGGGGCGCGATCGCCCCGATCGCGGACAAGACCTCGAAGTTTGCGAACTTCCGGACAGAGAAGTGGATCGTGGTTTCAGTGTTGGGGTACCCCAGCGACACGCTTAGGCGGCTTGTGAAGATAAAGGGATGGCAGGTGGTGGCGGTTGGTGGGTCGAAAACGCCGTCGGATTGGAGTCTGAAAGGTGCGATCTTTTTGTCGCTGGAGGAACAGGCCAATTTGGGGTTTAGGGTTGTGGATTACCTTCCTTACGATTCGTATGTTAGAAAGAGTGTGGGTTATTTGTTTGCGATTCAGCATGGTGCCAAGAAGATTTTTGACGCTGATGATAGAGGGGAGGTGATAGATGATGATTTGGGCAAGCATTTTGATGTGGAGTTAGTAGGGGAAGGTGCCAGGCAAGAGGTTTTTGCAGTAT